AGCAATAACCAAATTTCCTTTGATCACCTTCCATTTTCCACCACCAAACTTGACGTCTAGTCCCTGTTCATCCAATTGTCCGACTGAGATCAACTTTGTCTTCAGTCTTGGAATCACCCTGACATTTTGTAAGCTCCAAGTAGTTCCAAATGAAGTTTTTAGATCAATATCTCCCATGCCTGTCACTTTAAGGATTTTCCCGTTACCCAACTTTACCTTTCCAAAGTCTCCCTTTTTGAGATTCACCATCGCCTCACCGCTGTGCATGGCGTGAAACGAAGCACCAGAATCCATGACCCAAGAGTCAACATAGCTTTCCATGCTGAGTATCAATGCATCACTATCATCATCAGATGCATTCCCAACAACTGCGCTAATTTCGTTTTTCTTGTTTGGGCATTGACTCTTGACATGCCCAACTTCTTTGCAGACCCAGCACACCACATTCTTTCCAGCCTTAGACGAGCTCTTCCCACGACTCCCACTGTTTCTGTTATTACCTCTTCCCCTGCTAACACTAAGTAACCCAGAAGTAGATCCTCCACTAGCGTTCCTCCGACGAATGTCTTCACCCAAAACACTATCCCGTATCCGATCAAACTTCAAGTTTCCTGTTCCAGCAGTTTCAGTAACCGTTGTCACAAATCCCGACCAACTATCAGGCAAGAAAGATAACAGAATCACAGCCTGAGTGTCATCATCGAACTTCATGCCTACTGATGACAACCTCGACAAGATCGAATTGACCTCATTAATGTGATCAGCAACTGGGCTGCCCTCGTTCATTCTCATCATGAACAATTCCCTCATCAAGAACACTCTATTACCGGCCGACGCTTTCTCATACATATTTGACAGAGCTGTTAACATATCACGAGCAGTTGTTTCCTTCATGATATTAAACGCCACACTCCTCGTCAAAGCTAGTGTAATTTTACCTCTTGCCTTTTTGTCCTTTGAGTCCCAAATTGCTTCAGCAGCCTTATCCATTCCATCTGGTTTCTCTTCCAGTACCATGTCCAAATCGCACTCACCAAGCAACGCCTCTATTTGCATTTTCCACCATGCAAAATCAGTACCGTTGAACTTCTCGATTCGAACCCTCCCGTCCTC